TCTTTTTTTTTTTTTTTTTTTTTTGGGACGGAGTTTCGCTCTTGTTACCCAGGCTGGAGTGCAATGGCACGATCTCGGCTCACCGCAACCTCCGCCTCCTGGGTTCAGGCAATTCTCCTGCCTCAGCTTCCTGAGTAGCTGGGATTACAGGCACGCACCACCATGCCCAGCTAATTTTTTGTATTTTTAGTAGAGACGGGGTTTCACCGTGTTGACCAGGATGGTCTCGATCTCTTGACCTCGTGATCCACCCGCCTCGGCCTCCCAAAGTGCTGGGATTACAGGCTTGAGCCACCGCGCCCGGCTTGAATCTTTTTTTTTTTTTTTTTTTTTTTTTTTTGAGATGGAGTTTTACTCTTGTTGCCTAGGCTAGAGTGCAATGGCGCAGTCTCAGCTCACTGTAGCCTCTGCCTCCCAGGTTCAAGCAATTCTTTTGCCTCAGCCTCCCAAGTAGCTGGATTACAGGCATGTGCCACTGTGCCTGGATAATTTTGGTATTTGTAGTAGAGACAGTTTCGTCATGTTGGCCAGGCTGGTCTCGACCTCCTGACCTCAGGTGTTCCACCCATCTCAGCCTCCCAAAGTGTTGGGATTACAGGCATGAGCCGCTGCTCCCAGTTTACCGTCTTGAATCTTAAATCTTGAATCTTGGCTGTAGGGCATTTTCATTTTGTGATACCTAGAGATACGTTTAAAAAACCATAGCATTTTGAAAGCTAAACTTTTGCTGGAATACTCAATGTGAATTATGTGAATTAAAATTTTCTACTTTGGGCTGGCTGTGGTGGTGCATACCTGTAATTCTAGCACTTTGGGAGGCTGAGGTGGGTGGATCAGTTGAGCCCAGGAGTTTGAGACCAGTCTGGGCAACTCAACAAGACCCTGTCTCTACAAAAAAATGCAAAAGTTAACCAGGCATAGTGGCACATACCTGTGGTCCCAGCTACTCAGGAGGCTGAGGTGGGAGGATGGCTTGAGGCTGGGAGGCAGAAGTTGTAGTGAGCTGAGGTCATGCCACTGTACTCTTTCCTGGATGACAGAGTGAGACCCTGTCTCAAAGAAAAAAGAAAAGTCTACTTTGTGTCTGTATTTGATTTGCGCAGATGCTTCCAAACCCATCTTTGAGAAGAACTTTTAAATCACTACATTAGGTTTACCTGCTGTATTAGTCCATTTTCATGCTGCTGATAAAGATGTCCCCAAGACTGGGCAATTTGCAAAAGAAAGAGGTTTAATTAGACTTACAGTTCCACATGGCTAAAGAGACCTCACCATCATGACAGAGGCAAGTCACATCTTACCTGGATGGCAGCAAGCAAAGAGAGCTTGTGCAGATAAACTCTCCCTTAGTAATAACCATCAGATCTTGTGAGACTTACTGTCACAAGAACAGCACAGGAAAGACCTGCCGCCGTGATTTGATTACCGCCCCCCTTTGGTCCCTCCCACAGAATGTGGGAATTCAAATGAGATTTGGGTGGGTACACAGCCAAACCATATCACCTGCAGGACTGAGGCCCTCACCATGCTGAGTGTGAGCACCCTGTAGTCTCTGGGCAGCAGGCCCTACACCAGGCAGTTTGCTCCTCTTGCTTTGCCTCCTGTGTTGGTCACTTTGTCAAACCTGGTCTCGGACTTCCCTACCTCGTGAACTCTGCCACCAAAGCCACACACCCCAGCTGTCGCTCCCTACCAGACCTGCTTCCTTTCAAAATGCCAGTTCCACAATTGGCTTTTAGGCCCTTAACCCTCACAAACCAAGACTTACATTTTTATTCTTTAGCTGTCTCTCAGGAGGAACTCAAGAAGACGGTAACTGATGAAGCACACTCAGAAGTTCCTGGGTTTTGTGCTGGGGACAGAATACTCAAGTCCCAGCCTTAGAGAAGCTAACAGGAAATATAATCAAGTAAATCTTCAGTGATTATGTAGTGTGATCCATGTGATGATGGGAGATGATAGAGTTCGCTTTCCTTTCCTCAGTGTTATTAGGACCAAATAAGACATGTATGAGGCAGCCTCTTTGAGGCATGCAGTACTCTAGAAAGCTTAGTTGCTGAGGGTCAGCCTGTCTGGCTACTTCTCTGCAAGCAGGAGAGGGAGGATTCTCTGAGCAGGAGAGGGAGGATTTGCTGTGGTCTGCTTATTGGTTTCCCTATCTGCGCTTCTGCATGGTCCATAGTTCTCTACCACATAGGGCAGTAAAATACGCTGGGTAGGAATGGGGGGTTCAGTTTAGCTCCTCAGTAGCATAGTAGGAAAGGGCACACTGAACATCTGGGTGGAATACAGGTTTATTTGCTATGTTCACTTTTAATTATATGGACAGTTGTTAATAGCAAAATAGTTCTCCTTGAGGCTGGAATCTTTTTTTTTTTTTTTTTAAAAAGAGACAAAGTCTCCCTCTGTTGCCTGGGCTAGAATGCAGTGGCATGATCACGGCTGACTGTAGCCTCAACCTCGCAGGCTCCCACTTCAGCCTCTTCAGTAGCTGAGACTGGTACTATAGGCACATGCCACCACACCCAGCTATTTCTTTTTTCAAATTTTTTGTAGAGGCAGGATCTCCCTATGTTGCCCAGGTTTATCATGAACTCCTGGGTCCAAGTGATCCTCCTACTTCACCCTCCCAAAGTGCTGGATTACAGATATGAGCCACTGTGCCCAGGCCTGTGTAGAATTCTTAAATGCAAAAGAGAAGTCTATGAAAACTGATAACATACTGTGCTATAAGAAAGCCTAAGCCAGGCATGGTGGCTTATGCCTGTAATCCCAGCACTTTGGGAGGCTGAGACAGGCAGATCACTTGAGCCCAGGAGTTCGGTGCCAGACTTTGCAACATGGTGGAACCCAGTCTCTACAAGAAATACAAAAATTTGCTGGGCATGATGATACTTCCCTGTAGTCTCAACTACTTCAGAGGCTGAGGTGGAATCATTTTTAAAAGTTCTTCTTAAGGTAAATTTAGAATTCCAAGTTGTATGTAAGATTATGGTAGAAATTTGGTGCAGTCTTGGCTCACTGTAACCTCTACCTCCTGGGCTCAACTGATTCTCCAACCTTAGCCTCCCAATTAGCTGGGACTACGGATGCAGATCACCATGGCTGGCTTTTTTTTTTTTTTTTTTTTAATTGTAGAGTCAGGGTCTCACTAT